CTCTTCACTCATTGAAAGTGTGCATTTTTATCTTCTTTTAAAGACGCGCTGTTTTGGGACACGATTTGAAAAGACCGGAACTTGGTTTTATTAATGATAAAAATAAATGACATTTATATAACGCTAAATCCCGATTAAAGTGCACAGGCTCCTAGCGCTATACAATACAATGTACAACAGTAACATAAAACGTTGAGTTCTGACCAAAAGATTCATTTATAGATTTTTTTAAATTTCATTTCTAATTTCTTCATCAGAAACTTGAAAGGGCATGTCTCAATAAAATAACATACATGCAGTAGAAGAACCTGCTCTAACGACTATCTGTATAAGACAATCTTATGCACAAACCACCCCTACACATTTCCTCTCTTGTGTATTTTTAAGAAGAATACTTTTGCCATATTTCCTCAAAAATGGGTGGAAAATTACACAGAAATATATAAATTCTTGTTCCTGAACTGTGTATGACATAATAATATGGTGCTACGAAATGTGCCGCGACTTCGCCATTTTTTTCTGCTGCTGATCTGATACATTATAATATTATGAGGCCGCTACGTCATTAAAGAGCCAAACACCCTTGTAGGTAGGCCTATCAAACGAACAGAAAGGCGCGGATCGTGGTCTCCTGGTCTCATGTGTCACGTGGTTACGCTCTCGGGCCTGAGGCGGTTTGACATGGTCATGTTTCAGACCGCGGTCATCATCACCCCACACACACACGGACGACACTGACTTGCTCCAGATTTAGCCCCTACCTCCGGGCCAGCGGAACATTCCTTGACTTTAGTGTTACTAATTTTACGTTTTATTTCCCCCCGCCGATCCCAAAGCGTGATCTCTCTCTCTCTCTCTCTCTCTCTCTCTCTCTCTCTCTCTCTCTCTCTCTCTCTCTCTCTCTCTCTCTCTCAGTATTTTTTTTTTTTAAGATATTTAAAATCATTTTTAAAATAATGCTTGTTTTGTGAGGTGGGAAAAAAGATACCATTCTGAAAAAAAAAAAGTTTTTTCAGACCAGACTGTGAAGCCAACAACATGGCAGATAGCCTGAGCATGTGTCAGTTTAGTAGAGGGATTTCTTTGCAGAGTTAGATATTCATGCACTCTCGTATCTGGTATTTATAGTGTAGAGGCTGTCTCAGTGACCATTTTGGTATATATATATATATTAATAACATGATGGGCATGTGTCAGTTTAGTAGTGGGATTTCTTTGCAGAGTTAGATATTCATGCACTCTCGTATCTGGTATTTATAGTGTAGAGGCTGTCTCAGTGACCATTTTGGTATATATATATATATTAATAACATGATGGGCATGTGTCAGTTTAGTAGTGGGATTTCTTTGCAGAGTTAGATATTCATGCACTCTCGTATCTGGTA